ATTCCATATTCTATATAAACTTTGTGATTGAAATACAATTGTTAATTTTCACTTTTCTCAATCAACTTTGAGAGTAGAGGGGGCGCACCAATTTTACTTGCTCCATACGCAAAGCATATAGTTATGCTACTTATTTTTATTGTATAAGGGTATAAACAACAACAAAATACAATATATATTTATTGATATAGATATAGCTTTCTCTCGTTATATGTTATTACATTAAGAAGCGAGCAATGACTATAACTAGGAACTACAAAACTATTTTTACAGATCGCATGGCGATCACGTGACACAAATAAGAGCACGTATAAAACTAATAAAACGCGATAGGCCTTGTGCGCTATCGCAACACCACTAGTATATATATATATATATATATATATATATATATATATATATATATATATATAGATAGATAGATAGATATAGATATATACATATATACATAGAATATATATTTAGAACATTAATCAAAAACCGATTACATTATAAATTTTGACTAGTATAAATATGTATTTATAAACAAGTGTTTAACTCAATAAAAAATTTTACGAAATGCAGACTTGAAATGTTTTAAAAGGTCTTAGGTATATAACTGATAACATATTGATTTAAATAAAAAAATATTATTTATAAACAGAAAATTTATTCTCTCTCTATATATAGAAAATTATATAAATATTTTGTAAAATGCACTCGTGCTAAAATATATCTGGTCTGCGTTTTGTTATCAACACAAAATCCCATTTTGATTTTTACGAGAGAGATCCATTTAACTCAACGTGCCACCATATCTTAAATGAATTGTTTAGTTATATTCTAAAAAAAACTTCATCCTTTAATCCACTTTTGCACAATTGTTATGATAATCTGCTGCACTATCACCGTCTTCATCCAGTGTATTTAAAAAAGAAGTTTTTTCAGAAGTTCTTTTTTTTTTACATGCTCTGCTAGCAAGTCAAAAATACCTTAAAATACATTTATATACTTTTACCGGAGGTGGTTTAAATACTTTTCTAGGTGGCGTAAAAAAACAGTTTTTAACATAAAAAGCATCATATCGGGCACTGATATAATAACCCAAGATTGACCGCAGGGTATTATAAAGTACAAATATTTTTGATTTTATAGAAGCCGTACCATTTGGCATTTTATCTTTACCGAGTACCTCTGTAAAGTTTTAAGAATAATGGTTTAAGAATTGCATTAAAGGTTCTCGTGAGGAACAAAAATTAACTATTGGTGAACGTGGCACACTAACACCATACTGATCACAGCCAATGCAACAGAAGACAGCTTATCACTATTTTTAATATTCAACGAAGATTCAAAATGCATTTATATTTTCTTTGGGCACAAAAGTAAGCAGTAAAAATCGATATATTGATCAAGTGATCTTTATTGATTTCTTACATCATTTTAATGAGCTTCATCATAGAATTATGCGGCTATTAAAGCAATTGAATTAGCAATAGAGATCGATATTAAAATATAATGCATTCCACTTCATAGTACAAATAACTACCAAAAACTTGATACACAAGTAAATAAAATAGTGAAACCGATGTGGTTTGAAGCCTTGTCTAATAACTTAGCTGAAAATGATGAAATTTCTTTGCCTCGTTGCAACTTTCACATTATTTTTAATTAATTTTAACAGAAAATGGCCCAAAATATTTATAAAAAGAGGATTGATTGTAAATGTTTTATCATTGTGATTTGCATCCCCTAAGAACATAGTGAAAGACTATGAATACAAAAAAATAGAAGTGATTATTAAAACAACAGTTTAATAGGAAGATCTAAATTTAAGTTTTATAAGGATTATTGTACCTTCTCTGGAAAAAAAAATTTTTCCAGCTGATTCTAATAACCTAAGTTCATCTAATAGTTTTATTCTAAATAATAACTGAGATGATGAGTTTTGTTGTTTTTGTGCAGCTGTCGAGGAGAAGCAAATAAAGATTGAGTTAAATGTTTAAGTTACAATCAGTGGGCATGAGAAGGATATTTTGGAGTTGATAAATGTGCTATTGTATGTTATGTTACTTGTATGTTATGTGCAATACATGTGCAAATTATGTGCAAACTATGAAGCTATCTGTAGACTATCAGTAGTTTTATCTACATCATGATGTAGATAAAAGTGCAAGTTTAAGTGCACTTAGAGGTTTACTACTCTAGATTAAGGAGACCATCTTACTATTACCTCAAAAATGATGTTTTATATTAAAGTTTATTTTCTCCTTGGTAAGTTGCCTTTACCACTAGTAAGGAATTTTGTCACATTAAACGTCGCACTCCTACTAAAATGGAAATAGATTAGTAATCCAAGAAACATTAAATATTTGAAATTTTTTACACAGTATATCATATATTTACTTTAGTTAATAAATTTAAAAAATTTTAATATATAAAAAACTAGATTTTTTTCCTTTTTTTCCGAATTAATTTAGTTTAACTGTAATAAAAAGTTGTAAACCGATTTTTTTCTTTTACTGAACGTTAAAGCATTTTTATTTATTATATATATTTTTAAACTATAATTAACAAAGGTTTAGGAGAATACTTTGAGTCGGTTCTCTACTCAGTTCATACCCGTAAAAATAAAATAAAGTATCTTACTTAGGTAGCCTATTTTAATTATAAAAAGTTTAATAGTTGCATTAAATACATATATATATATATATATATATATATATATATATATATATATATATATATATATATATATATATATATATATATATATATATATATATATATATATATATATATATATATATATATATATATATATATATATATATATATATATATATATATATATATATATTCTTTATTACAATCATTAATACAATTTCTATTAAAACTTTATGTGAATAAAACGTAAGACATAAAAATAAGTAAATAATATTTACAAAGAAGATTTCGTTAACAATAGAAATATGACAATAAATATAACAATAAAATCTTTGAGGACTGAAATAATAATTAAAAAACTTTTTTGGTTTTTGTTTTAGTTTATGTTAATAATATAAAAGTAATTTACAATACAAAAATTTGATATTTATCATCATTCAAAAATTTGATATTTATCATCATTCAAAAATTTATCAAAAACATGTGTTTTTTAACCTTTAAATTCCCCCTCTTAAAAAAGAAAAATGGAACAAAATTTTAATAATCTTTTTTAATTAGGAACTACTAACCTAATTCTGTAATAAAATATTCGAAAAGTTGAAATTGAAAAAGTTTTAAAGAAATATAAGTAAAATCTTATTTCTGTTTCGCGCGCGGAACGATTTGTGAGTGTCCGCCACTATTCGACAGTAAAAAAATTTTTTTATTAATATTAATTAAAAAATATGTTGAATATTTTTATTTATTTGTTAAAGTTTTAATTTTTTTTGAGTGCCTAGGTTTATTAAATACGGTTTATTAAAGCGATGTTGTATGTATGAGAGGTTCCTTTGCTGACAGTACTTGTCGCAACTTGATAGTTGCGAGCCAGAAGATAGCCTGTTACGGGTAGTATTCTGGGTAATGATAGCCTGGTACGGGTACTATTCGCACATCACTTCTTGTATACGTAGAAAACTCAAAGTAGTCACGTGCTCGTACCGTCATGATTAAAAATAGGTGGTGCCCACAACCCTACCGATATTTTAAAATTTGCTCTGAGAACAAAAAATTTGAGATGTTTTTAAGCAGAAAAGTTTACTTATTTATATGCGAATCATATTTTTAGAGTAAAATCTAACGAGCTCCCCTCGCCTCACCCTAATCAATATATGAACTTAGAGTCTAGACTTAAAATCTTGGCCAAAATTCTTTTTTGCTATGCTTTAAATACAAAAAGGGATTGCTAATAAATTACGCAACGCATAACTGGATTAAAAATAGAAGTAGAAGGTCATTTGTTCTTTTGCGCGGCGGCTTCGAACAAAAACTGCTATTTTGTTTTTTGGTTTAATTTGAGTTTAGACTCGAACTAAACCAAAAAAGACTGTAATTAACTAGATACTGTAAATTAGTAGTTATACTCTGCGAGGGAAACTTTTGATTTTTTGTTTTGTTTATTAGTTAAATTTAGGTGGCTAGGTCTTATTTTTTTATTACTTTTATCAAAATAATCATGTTAATAGCTACAAAGCTACGATATAGAGCTTTTGAAGAGATGCAGACTTGTCTTAATATTAAAGTTAGCTATAAAAAAAAAAAGTAATATTGGTACAAATTTGTAGCTATGCTTTACCAAGTTACAAAGCTATTAACATTTTATTTTAAAACAACCTAAGAATGCTGACTAAATCCTGCGATATATATACATATCGCTACAAAAATAAGTAACCATTAGTAATAAATGGCTATAGCGATCTAACAGGTATGGAAATGTTGTTATGTAGTTGCTAGAGAAAAGCTACAATATGTAACTATCGACCAGCGTTAGATTAGTCGTTATATTGTTGTTAGCTATGTACCTACAAGCTGTAGTTATCGTTAAATCGTAAAAATATCGCTAGGTAAAAAAGCTGCGATAGAAAACTATCGACTACATAAAGGTTTCTCGTGATGTTGTAGTTAGCTGCAATGTTACGATATAGCTAACGATCATATTAATACAGATAGCTATCGTAATAATATTGATAGCTACAAAGCTGCGACATCTATTTAGCGACATGTCGTGATAAAACCGTAATTTTATAAGTTCATCGTATAGGATACTTAAAACACTCAAAATCTGATTTTTTCAAGACTAATTTTTTCAAGAGAAAATAAAACAAATTAAAAAAAATCGCTATAAAATTATTCGCAAGCTTATTTCCCAACGGAAATGCATATAATTACTTTGCAGACATATTAACGTGCCAGCATATATATTTTAAATATATCAAATTGCAAACTGTATGATAATAATATTACTAAATTTTCAATCTTGATGAGCTATTTTTAACACATTTTTTACTAAGAATCCCGCAAAAAAGTTTTCAACGTTTAATATAATCAAGTTTTCAACCAGATTAATTCATAGTAAACAAAATCGAAAAAAAAAAAATTCAACACTAGCTTTGCAAACGTCCTTCAACTTTTAATTTTCTTATTAGTTCATTTTGCTTCATTTTGCTTTTAGCAAGACGAGACTCCATTAACTGAAATATGGGGGTACATATTATTTCAATTATTTTTGTGACTGCTTGCGTATACACTAAAAAAAAAATTTTACATGATAATATTTAACCATGACAAAAAGTTTGATTAAAATTTTCCATAGAAAAGACAGAAAAACATTAAATAAACAACAAATGGAAACAAGAAATAAAAAACTTTTTTCATAAAAATTTTCATATATATATATATATATATATATATATATATATATATATATATATATATATATATATATATATATATATATATATATATATATATATATATATATATATATATACATTATTTTAACCAGATGTAGTTACACATCTGATTTTTTTCGGATGTAACTACATCCGGGAATAAAATAACTAAAAAATGCATTATTTTAACCAGATGTAATTACACATCTGGTTTTTTCGGATATAACTACGTCAGGAAATTTATTTAAGGCGGATGTAGTGACACATCGAGAAAAACTCCCGGATGTAGTTACATCTTTCTAAAGATGTTATTAGACATCAAAGAAATTTCGGATGTTGTTGGACAGATGTTAATTCAGTAAAGAAAAAAAGCGGATATCTTGGACAAAAATGTGCAGTGTTATTTCATTACTTCACAGATGTTGTTGGACAGATGTAGTAATCTTCTTCCAATAAGACAAATATGTCAAACCTGTTTTAAACAACAAATCGTAACATGTATTTGACTCAAAATACAATACAGGAATTATATTTTGTATCGTATTTGATCGTATTTGACTATACAATACAGGAATACCCCAATACTTTTCATTAACAATAAGAGTAAGGGCAGTTATATAAATATGGCATGGATTAATATACTTACGCGTTTTGCTTCAGTAATAAAAGTAAAATCGAAGAGATAAAAATCATAGAAAAAAAAGAAAAAAACAAACTGCCCTGTATTGCATTTTAGCAAGTGGTCAATATGAGACCACAATATTGATGCTTCGGTGTAACAAAATGAGAGCAGATTGGATGGATAAGCCACCTTTTGGATCAACTGGCTAAATAAATGAAGAGCTGTTTGTTATGTGGTTGATCTAATTTTTAATGGATGGCTATATTAGTCATACAAGGATTCTAAACTTCATTTTTCTTGAAAAAGAAAATAATGTCAGGATCTTAGCTTACTTCTTGCTAGGGCTTCCAGTTCGAACATGTTCAGGTTCGAACGTTCGAACTTTTGATATTTTTAAAGAGTTTCAAGTACTATTTTTTATCTAAAAGTTCAAACATGTATATTTTTCAAAAATAGGTTCTTTATTATTATTTTTTAACCGTGAAACCAAAATCTTTTTTTAAACTGTGACATTTTTAGTTTTTTTACTCATAATTTTTGTTATGCAATACTATTTTTCAAAAACAACACTAATAAATTTAAAGTCACCAAAAAATGTGTAAACAAATGATTTAGAACGTTAAAGTTTTAAAGTTTATACAGTTACGCGTGTTACATATTTGTAATTATTAAAGAAATCCCATGGCGATACCCATAAAATAGATCGTTAAATATAGCGAGTAAATGTAGCTTTGACGAGCTAATAAAAGTTTTAATTGTACGAAATAAAAATAAGTTTAAAGATGTAAGCACAACTAGAGGGTCTTCGGAGTTCAAAGTTCAAACTCTATAAAATTATTCTCAAAACACCTAGCTCAAAAGCTATTACAAGGCATTTAAAAACAAAGTACAAAATTTAAATTCTTAAATACAATAACTCTGCGCTCGAGGCTGCAGCAAACATTCCTGCTGCCGAAATGCCGTGAATTGAAAGTTTTTTTCAAGGATGACAATAAAACTCTATCTGAAATGGAATCAGCTTTTACACCATTGCTAAAAGTGAAACTTTGCAATCAGCATTTAATGCCCAGGGATACCAAATCCCTAAATATTCCTCAAACCGTTCGCGATTTTATTATTAAATACTTCAGTTTAGTTTAAAAGAAAATGAAATTAAATAATAATGAAAATGAAACTAAATAATATATGATGAACGTAAATTTAGTCTTAAATTTGATAAGTATGCTTCAGTCAAAAACAGAAGATATATAAACTTAAATATACATCATAATGAAGGATTTCAACCGCTTAGAATGTTAAGAATCCAAGGTACAATTCCTGCAACAAAAACCATTAAATCGATCCGTGATATGCTTAATTCATTTTGATTTAAATTTGGATAAAGATATTGTAGCATCTGTTACTGATGGAGCTAGCTTGATGAAAAAAATTGAACATGACACTAAACCTAAATGTGTTACAACCACTAAATCAAATGTGTTTCAACCACGCTATTCATCTGCGTGATTAATGTGCTCTTTACGAAAAACAAAGTTGATTTTTTAATTTTTAGAAACTATTCCCACCCACCTTAAGTTTATTAAGACCCCCCATTTATTAATTTTTGCTTGTTTTCAACAAAAAATTAATATCCCAAAACTAAAAAATAAATTAAGTGAAAATTGCACTTAAAAATTGAAAAATAATTAAAAATAATATAAAAATAATAATTAATTGAAAAATAATTAAACCGATAAAAACAAAAACTATCAGTATAAATCAGGTTTTAAAAATCATTTTGGTTTATTTCTCACCCACATCGGCGTAGAGTACTGAAATTTCCAAGGGGGGCAAAAAGTTAAAGATTCGATTTTTTTGATCAATGTCTACTGTCCAGTGTTTATTATTTTTGATATAAAAATAAAAAAAATAACAACTTTTGATTTTGGTTAACAAGCATCACGAAATTAAAGTAAAACAAGTAGAGATGGAATTTTACTTAGTTTCCAAATAAAACATTCTACGGCGCATTTTGTTTTTTTTAATAAACTATGGAAGTATAAAACAGATGAAAAAAAGGCATTGAAATTCTTCGGGACTATGCTCGTAACCTTTTGTTTCGTAAACAATAAGACAATAAGAAAACTACATCAAGACTGTACTTAAACGCTTAATCTTTATACGTAGACGTAAATAGGTACGTTTATAATTGAGAGCCTATATACTCAGAGAGCGGACATACGTGTGATCTTTTTTGATTGGTTGTTCGATTTTTATGATTTTAAACGCCATCTTTTTGCCAAAAATACTAACTGCGATTAAAGTCTACTACTAAATTTGTTTTAAATATTTGTAAAAGTATGCCTGGTTGTGCTGCAGTAGGCTGCCATAACATGCCTGAGAAAGGATTTATTATGAAATGCTTCCCAAGAAAAAAAAACAACGGGCGATTTGGACTCCTAAAGTTAAACGACTTAACTGGATACCTACAATCACAAGCTTTTTGAAGTATGCATAAGAAAATACAGTTTTATGTAATTAATCCTAGAAATGAGTTATTTTAGAATCCGTACAAATACATTATATTCGTTCAATTTTTTTATCAAGGTACACTTTGATGCTGATCAATGGGAAAAACCCAGAGAAGATGGATCAAGAAAACTCAAACATAATGTAATTCCTACTATCTTTAAACATGTTAGTCCGAAACATAAGCGAAAAAATCCACTTGAGCATTTTCCAATACCAAAAAAAAAAGAAAAGAAGTTGTATAGAAAGTGGTGAAGTTGTGGAAAATATTTTAATTGAAGTAAATAACAATGAAGTATCTGAATCACTTTGCACAACTGAAGTTGATAAAAGTTTACTTATACGAGATTTAAATGCGAAATTGGAGAGATTAAAAAAAAAAGTCATTAATCAAAAAATAAATAAATAACATTTTAAAATCAAAAGCAAGAATAAATGCTATTCAAAAGTATAATCATATAAAGAGAGATAAATTTAGAGTTTTCAAAACAATATTTATAGAAGATCAAATTTTATCCTTAAGTAGAAAAAATATGAAATTCATTAAATGGTCAAATGATACTATAAATGAAGCGTTAGAACTCAAATTTACATGTGGTCAAAGTGGTTATGAAAATTTACTTCGTTTAAACTTACCATACCCATCATTACGTACCCTACGACGAAGATTAGAAAATCTAAAATTTCAAAGTGGCATTTTAACAGAAGTCTTTGAGTTTATGAAAACTAAGGTGAATGTCATAAAAATCCATGAAAAAGAATGTTTACATTCTTGATGAAATGTCAATAACTGAAAGTGCTGACTATGTCACATCTACAAGCTCTTACTATGGAGTTGTTACACTACCTGAACATTATGGTCAAGCTAACCATGCTTTAGTTTTTATGCTTAAAGGAATATCTACAAGATGGAAACAAACTGTTGCATATTATTATACTGGAAGTTCTGTTAATGGGGGTGTTTTGAAAGCATTGTCCTATCTATAATAAAGTATACTGAAGAAATAGGATCAAAAGTTAATAGTGTTACTTCTGATATGGGTGCCATTAACCAGGCAATGTGGAAATCTTTTAATATTAGCTGTACTAAAAGTGGCAGTATTTCTAGTTCAATTAAACACCCATGTGATCCTACTCGTACAATTAATTTTTTAGCAGACGTACCACATTTATTAAAGAATATAAGAACATCTCTTATATGTAATAAACATTTTATAATAACAGCTAAGATTCAAGAAAAATATAAACTTCAATCGCCAATTATAGATTCAAAACACCTTAACAAGCTTGTAGACTTTCAAGAAGTTTTGGATTTGAAGTTTGCTTACAAATTTGCTTAAAAATGTTTTTCATCAAGATGTTCAGATGAAAGCTTCATCTGAACATCTTGATGAAAAACATTTCAACAAAATGAAAGTATCAAGAGCAACATCTGTAATGAATCATGATGTAAGGATTAAAATTTATTGCAAATGAAATAAAAGATGATTCTATTCACACAACTGCTTGGTTTATAGGAATTGTTGATAAATGGTTTACATTAACGACTTCACGAAACCCAGGTATGGCTCTTAGCATGAAAAATAACAAAGTTTACAATGAAACAATAACTTTTTTTAATGAAGTCATAGAGATATTCCATGGTTTAAAAATATTAGGCCAAACTGGAAAAATAAGGTGGAAACCTATTCAATCTGGTGTTATATTATATTCAATCTGGTGTTATATTATATTCAATCTGGTGTTATATTATATTCAATCTGGTGTTATATTATATTAACTTGCAAAACAAGTTTCTTCTAGAGGAAAAATTTTGATTTTCTAATGACATCACGATTTACCCAAGATTGCCTGGAGAGTCTTTTTTCCCTGGTACGTGCAAAACAAGTAATTCCTACTGCTCTTCAATTTAAAAATAACCTGAAACTTATTTGCATTGCCCAATTCTTGAAAAAATCATCAAAAGGCAGTTATGATAAAGATGACCGTCAAATCTTATCTGGTTTTCTTGATATAGTCAATAGTAAGGTGCATAAGCTACAGCAAAGAGAGTTACCCAAAGATTGGGATAAAACCTCTAACTTAATCTTAAGTAATGCTGAGCAAAATTGTTTCATATTGAAGGTTATATAATTTCAAGAGTTAAAAAAAATTGAAAAAGTTTGCACAATTTGTTTTGAATCTCTAGTTTCTAAAAATAGAGTTAATGCTGATTACACAAAGTTTGTTACAGACAAAGAGCACAAAGTGGGTATTTTATTTTTTTCCTAATGAAACATTTGCATTCTTTTTACAAATGGAGTTAATATTCAGATCATTTGAGCCATATCTTAATTCCCAAAAGAATTGTAATACTATGCTTTTAGAGAAAATTAATTTTGATGAACAAATTAAAAGTCTAACTTTGTATCCTTGTTGTCATCAAATTAAATTGAAGCTAAAAAACAGGTTTATAACATTCAGACTTAAAATATTTAGCCTTAAAAAAAAGCGTTTATTATGTAAAAAGAAAAAAAGTAAAAAAAGTTCTTGTGAACTTGGCAGCAAGAGTATGACAAAAAACATGGCCGCCGTTCTTCCGTATTTTCCATATGTCCGCTCTCTGAGTATATAGGCTCTCTAGTTTATAATAATTTAAAAATAAAGGGTTCGCCAGAAAAACAATAAAAATGGCGCAACAAAACGGCAAACAACAACTTTTTTATAAACTTCATATTAAATGAATGGAGTAGTACAAAAATGAATGGAGTTATGATTTACACCTTTACTTACCTTAAAACTTTAAACTTTAGTTATTTAGAAAACAATTTTTTTAAAAATAGTTTTAGTTGTCTTTTTTATCAAATGTCGTGTTATGACTTGAAGCAAGAAAAGAAGTATAAACTAACATATGCTTTTAAAATCAAGTGGTTCTATTTAATTACCGAGTTTTAACAAACTTTTTGCTGAATAATTGCAATTACTAATGGTTAAAAATTTGCAGCATATCCCTAGAATAATTCATTTTTTAATGTTTTAATAAAAATCATTTCAGTGAAACTTGTTGTTTTTTTATCCAGTGAAATCTTTTAATTGAACTTTTTTTTCTATTAGCCTCGTCAATGAAGAGGTCCCGGTGAAGCTTGTTCTTTGATATTTAGGAAAATTGTCATTGTAGAAGTTTTTTATGTAGTCGATACTGCATTCAGTTATATTTGATCCAATCACAAACTCTTTCTTCTTCCTCTGCAGAGTTGGTTAGTCTAAATCCATCGTTTTAACATCAAAAAGTGTTTTAAAACGTGACTCAGTAGGCAAAGAGCCTTTAAAGAATTTAAACTGTGAGCTCTGCATTGAACATAAAGGGCTCTGTTTTCATGTTAAAGAACAAGTTTTTGTAAGCCAGCTGTTTCAGAAGACATGGCAGCAGCTCAATCGTAGCATTGTTCGCAACAGTTCTCGAACCTTGAGTTGGAACGAAGAAGGACGTTTTTCATAATAAAAAACAGACCCTTGCTTTTAGTTGTAGCTGCCACATAAAATCCACAAAAATACTCATTAATTTGGAACTCATCGTCCACAGTACGGAAGGATATCGATACTAATACAATTTCATTAAAATTATAAAAGGAAAATACAAGGTACAATAAATTGTTGCTTTGGCTAATAATACCAGCTCTTTTCCAACTCTTAAAAGAGTAACACACTTTTTTAACAGCTGTTGTCAGTTATTTTTTATAGTACTTTATATAAATATGTAAACGTAGTAAAACTCCGATTTAATTTTTTTTTTAATTCTAAAAATAAAGACTAAAATTCAAAACGTCGGTAGTGGACGTGTTTGAAGTCTTCCTAATTTGTTGACCTGAAGTTGTCGTCAAGTGAACAACCGTTACTTTGAAATTTGCATAAAATAAGGTTTATTACCGCAAAGTCAAGTCCACCAAGGTACATTGTCTAACTGGGTTTCTTTAAAGATTTTTTAATTGATACTTTCTTTTTATTTTAATCTTAAAATTTAATAAAAATTCTACACAAAAACAAAAACGTCGCTAAAAAAATTACTTTAAAGCACTAGTATACACTGTGAAAAAAATCTTAAACTGAGATCGAAAGATTATTTGAAGTTTTATTTTATCTAAAAAACGTATTTTTATTTGAAAAAAATATCTCGTTCGTCAAGTTATCCGAGTTCTTATCTTAAAAACGGTTTTTTTTGTGTATGATTAAAGCAAAGGATTATTTATTACTTCGCTTTTTACGGAAAAAACTTGATTTCTTCCTCTGATTTCTTCTACTTTTAAAAAATAAAATTCGAAATTATATTTATTTTAAGATAGGATAAAATTTCAAGGGGGGCAAACGAATTTTCAAGGGGGGCAAACTTATATCAGCATATTAAATCTTATTGAATTTACGATAAAGCAGCTGTTTGAAAATGCGCATTTGACCGCAAGCCACGCTAGAATTAAATTTATATACGTGTTTTGTAAAAAATATAAATTTGAACTGATAAAATTTTTTTATAAACTTTAGTGAAAAAAGAAAGAAATATGTTAAAAAATTGCCACGCGAAAGTTACTTTGAAAGAGCTGTGAGAGAATTTTATTCAGACCTTAAAGACGTTAGGCATGATAAAAAAAGCCTTAAAAATATGGAATTTTTCAAAAATTTTGCTTTGGAGTTTCAACAACTGGCGTCGGAGTCGGAGTTGTACTCAAAAAATTTCAACAACTAGAGTCAAAGTCGTTATTTTTTTACGACTCCACACCCCTGATAAGAATATATATATATATATATATATATATATATATATATATATATATATATATATATATATATATATATATATATATATATATATTGTATTAATTTTTTTTTGTATCGTTAATAACAATTAATGTATTAAAAATGCAATATTAGATAAAAGTATTGCACTTAACAAAGAAAAAAAAAAAACATTATTTACACTTAAACAACTATTTACACTTAACTAAACTAACATAATCCCAATTATTTAAAAATATATACCTGCTGAATTTTGAACAGCCGTCAATACATCTTGATCAGCATAACTATGTACCAAATACAGAGCATGTTATTAAATATTGGTATATTGAGACATAAAAAAAATGTTTTTCTTCTTTCAATCATATATATATATATACAAATTCTAATCTTGCAGTCATATAAACTTTACTTTGTTTGAAAATTCTAATATACCAAACTTATCTATATATCCAACATAATAATTTTATATAAATAGAAATATAAAACTATAATAAAAACGTCACCTCAATGATTCTTGATAAGCAGATATCTCTTCCTAAATAAGATTTATTTAAAATGTATATCGTGAAAATGATTATGATAATATTAAACAGGGCAGAGAAATGAAGTCTAGGGTTTGGGTGAGTCGATTATTCTCAACTTTTACCACATTAAACAAAAAAATAAACATAAAAATGTTTCTGTAAGTCCTTATCAACTCTAAAACTTCATAAAAAAACTAGTTTTAAGAGCCTCTCCTAATCTACCCCTGTCACCCCTTTCATGTATTAAATAAAATATTTTTACCTGCAGCAAAATTTCAGGCAATTTAGTTAATTCCTGTAAACATGCATGGCTTAATTCTTTAGTAGATACAATCTCTTGCTCTATTTCTACACGTTCGTAACTAAATTATATAGACAATCAACATAACAAAATAATTACTCACAGCAATCAATGTGAAAATTTCATAAAAACTTAAATAAAAACAAATCAATTAAAACTTCAATTAAAACTTCAAAATATTTTGAAATATTAGTATATTTTGATTCCAATAATCTACCTGTCATTACCTTCAAATTTAACAGCCTGGAAACAAGTAACACGAACTTCTCCCATTTTCTAATCAATTTTAAGTAGAAAATAGTTATGTTACAGATGTAGCTTCATTAAACTAATTAAAACTTTAGGAATATATCAGTAACTAATTACCGATTGATCTGATTGGTTAAAACATGAAACTATAAGACCAATAAAATCTTTATCCATTAATTGATAAGCATGCTGTGTCTGAACATCTATGAAAACATTTTATGATATAATTAAACATTGAAGATAATAACGATAACAAAACAATAACGAAAAATTTAACTATAATGAGATATTTTTTATACCAACATGAGAAGGCCATACGGTGATGTGTGGATGTGAATGATACCATCCAATTATTCTCATTGGTTGTTTTAATCGTGTGCGTTCACCCAACTTGTGGAAAATAATTAAGATAAAACAAAAAAATTTGGATATTTGAAAAAAACTATTTTCATATAACTTTAAGCTAGGAAGAATATCTACAAATTTTTCATTAGGAACTGAAAATAATAAGTGCCTTTTGTCAAGGATAATTTCCTCTCATCTCAAGTTTCTTTACATCAATGTTTATCCTCTGGATAAGAACACTTGATTTCATAAAACCATTAATATAGATGAAAAATAACTTGAGACTAAGCATTAAACCTTGTGGTACCATAAAGTTACTGGAAA